CTATTTGCGCTTGACGTTAGCTCGCTGCCGGGTTGAAAAATTGCTGAACTGTTGTCGGAAAAATGAAACGTACAGTCGTTCATCAGGAACACATTTTTACCCGATTAACTGGCAGATTTTTGGTAAATTATGTCCAGCTTAGTTTCGGTTAAGTGGGATCGGCTATAGGTTACTTTGGATCATTCTTTTTACGACAGTCAGAGATCGTGACAATATAAAATCGTACAACTTTGCTGAACTTGTACGTAAAAGATTCAAACTGTTCAAATTGATACTTTTTACTAGTGTTCGTGCTAAAAAAGCTGATTTTAATTGGCTATTCTGAATGATCTGAAAATATTAAAGAAAAAATTTTTCCTTTGATCGCTTTTTAAATTTCTCAAACTTTTGTAGCCGTTTTCTATTTCTCCCTAGTTCATTTTTTTTCAGGAAAACCTAAGAAATTTTTCAACAATATTTGAATACGAATGATATAAACTTTTTAAACTTATTCACTTAGTACTGCGTAGTGATTTTTGAAAAAATTGATTGAGGCTCCCTTCCTGATCTCTCAACTAATCTATAACATGGCGCCAAAATAATATTTTGTTTCATTAGAAGTTTGTTACAATTATAATGCTTCTTGACAACCAGGATATATTTCAACGATGTTCTTTTAGCATTTGATATACTAGAAAGCCAAGTCGGTGGTGCCCGTAAAGGATTAGCCATAAATATTTTTAGAAAGATTTATTCAGTATCCGGTCGTCCCAGTCCAGTTAATTATACTGAAATTAACGTGATTCAATATTATAATATTATAGACTCGGCCAAATATTCAGAACAGAACTCTCATAACTATTTCGTTTTGAAACTAAATGGAAACATATATTATGCCTTCTGTTCATGAAATTTAATCTTGCCAAATTTGTAATCACTGTTCAATTTTCAATGCGACTCTTATAACTTTCCAATAACTCATCATTTCACCCCATGAATAAGATCCAATCTCAGCAAAAATCACGACACAATATTTTCGTGGATTCTCGCTCGATCAAATGCATTATGCGTGGATATGCGTCAGGCTTCAAATACATAAACTTTGACATGTATATAATAGTTAGTATATCACGAACCAAAATAACGAAACAACCATAATATTACGAACCAACTTCCGACGTTTGCCTCCTTCGCGGTCTCTTAGCAGAGATGTTGATTTTTGTTGGACAAATTCAACGGATTTTTGGTGCCAATCAGACTCGTTGATGCCATTTTTGAGCGCGTTAGATACGTGCGTATCACAAGCGTGCAGAATCTTCAGGTTATGTTGAGCTTAGTTCTTTATGGCGTCTTAGTTCTTTAAATATATATTAAATTATACCGACAACGACTGAAAGTATTAAATACTTAATATTCCTGGGGTTCCATGTGATCTGTAAGGAATTTGTCAAATCTGTCATATAAATTTAAGACGCACAATTGAAATTTGTCGTGAGTCCTAAATATTATTTTTCATCACATGCCACTAACAATTAATAAATTACATTGATATCAATTACTTTTTTAATCAAGTTTTGTAATCTGCTGTGGGGTTATGAGCATTCTTTTCGAAATCATTTGAACAAAGATAACAAAGTTGTTATCGAACTCCGGCTGCTCGTTTCCTTCGAAACCCGATAAACTAAAGAACAAATTGGATTTAAGACAATGCATCGCTCTCGAGTAATCTCATTAAAAGTTAATTCTTAATGAGTTTAAATGTTACCAGTGTTCAGTACACCAGCATTTCCGGGAGCGAGACCCGAGGCATTGGTGATAAGTAAGCGCTTCTTGTGCCGTTACAGGAGATCTCTGAACTTCGTCTCGAAGTCTCGTTCGTCAAAGAAACTTGACGAACTTCCTGATTTATGAGAGAAGTTTGGTCTAGAATTGCAATGAGATACCGTGTCTTAAAGTTTGATGTTTTATGTCTCCATCTCTCGAACAACGATGACATTTGTCATGGTGTTTTCGCGGCGAACTCGTTTACCATTGTTTTTCTTGCCAAATGAGAACCATTGTTTAAGTGTTATTCTGAATCTTCTAAAAATATTCTCTATATTCACACTCTCGGCTGATTTTCTTATGAATACAGTGTGTTTTCATACTTCTCCTGTGTAGTTTCACGAATATTTCATAAGCAAAATTTATAACCTATTGTCGTGCTATAGAATGATCTGCATTTCAAATTTAAATGAAGGACTTTTATTTATTCAATGCTGGAGTTCAAGTCTCCATGGTTGTAATATTGTTTTTTGCTCACTTCAGCGGGCCTCGCTTACCCTCCGACCCTGCAAACGACCGTCATTAACGAGCGCCTCTAAGCCTAAGTGTGTAGGCATGTTCTCTATTCATTACCGTCATCCTTTGTGCCGTACATTATTTACAACGTCCGTAGGCGGAACATAGGCCGAATATAGGCGCAATATATGCGGAATATAGGCGAAATATGGGCGGCATATAGGCGGAGTATGGGTGCAATATAGGCGGAATATAGGCTGAATATAGTTGGAATATAGGATCGGTTGTTAGCAGTCGGCAATGGGTATGCCACAGATCTGGATTAAAAAGTTCTTGATTAAATTATTCGAGATGGTTTAAACTTTGTTTTACCTTCGTTTTTTACCCATTTTTCATTTTTTTGCGTGTTATTGATTGCAATTTATGGGTAGGAAGGAATAATTAGTGAATTTTTTACATCGAAATTTTATGTTCGTGATTTGCGTGGTTGCTGGTGGTTTTTATGAACCTAGAAGTTAATTTCACTTTTGAGTTTCAAAGTTAATTTTTACAGCTTACTTAGTTATATTTCAGAGATTTCAGTGTTATTTTTTGAAGAGTTCCGACTTCATTTAATAATATTTTAAAGTTAGCAAAAAAAATTTGAAACCCATGTTTAAAGAATTCAGAGTTAATTATTTCCAGGAAATTGTGTGCTTGTTGTCAAAAAATTCAAAGGAAATTATGGAATTTAGAGACCACTTTCAGAGTCAATTATTTAATTAACAAAGAAAAATAATGAAGTGAAAAATTTAAAGTTAAATAATTTTTTTACTTTAACTTCAAATTAGGCGGTTGCCTGTCACTGAACTCTTAATTAGGGAGCAAGTTTCATGCAGAGTCTCGAGGCTGCAAAGATGCGCAAGTTCGCAAATTACTCCTCGGCTGCCTTGCCTGCTACTTTGCATGCTAATCCACGTCACAAATCCTCAGTAACTTTGCATGCTGATCCACGTGACAAATCCTCAGTAACTTTGCATGCTAATCCACGTGACAAATCCTCTGTAACTTTGCATGCTAATCCACGTGACAAATCCTCAGTAACTTTGCATGCTAATCCACGTGACAAATCCTCAGTAACTTTGCATGCTAATCCACGTGACAAATCCTCAGTAAATTCATTTTATCGTGTCAGCGCACGGGCGGATTTCTCGTGTGGTCTAATATTATTTTAAAAACTTCTTCATAAATGTTGTACAAAATTTTCATTATGTATTACATTATCAACTTGATCGTGATCTGCATACCATCATGTTGTTTATGCTAGTGAACGATTTTCACACGTGTTAATCAATATGTTTTAATTTGGAAATAATAATGATAAAATGATGTATGGTATATTTGAATGTTCCAATCATTTTTTGTGATTTTCTATCAGACATCTATCAATCTAACTTATTACTTATAATAAACGATTGACCCAAAGCATTTCGGTTCCCAGTTTCAGTCTAAGCTTATCCTTTAATCTACTTCTTGTATATCCCAGCTCTCCCAGTGCAAGCTAAGCTCAGTTCCTAGTTTGGGTCAAAGCCAAGGACTACTACACACAGGACATGCATAGCCTATGTCCAGCCTCTGCTAGCAGAGGCGATCGCCTACACTATGAAAANCTACACACATTGTAATACTATTGTATGAAACAATTATGGGCATATCATTTGTTGATGCCACTAAAACAACAGCATTTTCATAGTGTAGGCGATCGCCTCTGCTAGCAGAGGCTGGACATAGGCTATGCATGTCCTGTGTGTAGTAGTCCTTGGTCAAAGCTTAACTTTTATTCCATTCATGATAGCTCCCAGCTCTCCCAGTGCAAGCTAAGCTCAGTTCCTAGTTTGGGTCAAAGCTTAACTTTTATTCCATTCATGATAGCTCCCAGCTCTCCCAGGGCAAGCTAAGCTCAGTTCCTAGTTTGGGTCAAAGCTTATCTTTTATTCCAAGCAATCGTCGTGGAAGTTTTCCCAACGAGGCAATAAAAGCTCGGCAGGACAGGGAGACCGAGGCAGATTTTACCTGCGCCTGCCGCTGGCTACGGCTTTTCTCTTGAAAGATTCAACCAACTTGTATTGTTTACGAGCGCCGACCACTCGTTTTTATTTGTATCGTGGACTCATATTTCCATCCTGAATATATTTGTAAACTGTCAGGATCTCCTTAGGATGCGTACGAAAAGGGGGATTTTCGAAGACTCCCTTTGTGTTTATTGAGAATAAAAACATGCCGGAATTTAAGTATACGGACTTTGAAACGAATATTCAACTATCAGTTCTAATTAACTAATTACGTTCATTTAATTTGGTATTTTCGTGAAAAGACCACATATGTCTTCATTCGACTAGATATTTTTCTTTGTTTAATCAATTTTTATTTATAATTGTTATTATTATGATGGCTTTGCTGGTGTTCACATTCAATTTTCATTTTAAATTAGTTCGCATAAATTTTCTCTCTGCTCAACGTTTTTGTCCGTCGCGATCTTTCGATCTTATGTTTCTTTCTTTTTTCGTTTCTGTCCCTAGAACACTCGGGTAAAAATCTTTTTTGCCAATATTTTATTCCCTTAGTTATTCTTCAGCATTATCCGCATTTCATTTATTTGTCGTTTAAATAGACCTTCCTAACATTTAGCCCAAGAAAACATTCTGTAATAACATTTTGTGCAAAAGAACTCCATTTATATTCATGTCTATTCCGTTCCGCAGATATCGACCTGAATGATCCGGAGGTGCAGAAAGCTGCTGCCAAAATCCAAGCCGGTTTCCGCGGCCACAAAACGCGCAAGGAAATCAACAGAGAAAAGCCAGAAGCGAATAAAGCGGAAGCTGACGAAATTGCGGATATTGATTTGACAGATCCAGGTGAGTGTCTTGCATCTCCGTTGCAACGTCTTATTCGCTCACTGTCGGAATTCTGGTCGGCTTTTGAGGCTGAGGAAAGAGCTGAATTTAAATTTAAATAATGAATTTTGAAGCACGTGTGTAGACATATAATATGTTATCCGAAAGATTCCATGCTGAAAATGGTGTGGATGCGTGAAATTTAGTTGATTGATAAACTACCACAATGAAAAAGACCGGTATGAGGAAAACGATGCGAAAAGTTACTGGAATTGAAGAGTAGGCTGGAAGGAAGGATAGTGAAGGCATGTATAACAGAAAGGGTCTCCCTATAATAGTTTTGTTAACAGCTGTCTTTCTTCAAGGACAATAATATCCTAGGTCGAACTAGCAATTTATTAGAAAAACTCAGTCCTCTATGAAACTTCAAAAGAATTCCAACTTTATCGTTGCCCCATGCATGGTTTTCGCAACTTTTTTATGATCACACTTCTGCTTTTTTTATAGCCATGCACAATTGAAATTATGGGTCTATGGGCAAACTTCAGCTAATGTGTGGCCCGAAAATATTGTTTATTCTTATTTACAAACTAATATGGCAGCATGCCGTACCTAGCTAAAACATTATTTAATTTGTCAATTTTTTTCCGTAACTTTTTAAAGGACTAACGGACCGACCTGTGTAGTGGATTAAAATAATTTTCATTATTCAAAATACGCTACGTGGACGTTGCAATACTCGCCATGAATCCGTAAAGTTCAATGAGAGGGATGCGTCCTTAGGTTTCTAGTTCGATAACTCATACTTTTAAGATTCCAAAATGGAAATAGAATTTACGCGATGTCGTGCAGACTTACGTCACTGCGTAAATGTATTGATGCCCTGGAGACAATAATAAATGGACATAGAGAATATCTCCCCAAACGAAAAAAGAGTATTTATAGAGTATTCATTGTCGAAGTTTAACATTTGAAAGTTATTTAATGACCATTGCTTTCAACTCCCCGACGTACTCTCAGGTGCAGTGCCAAAATGCGGAAATTAACAACGTTGCCACACTCGCTATCGGGACCCACTCAAATACGATATCGACAATTGATACCGACAATACGATACCGACACTCTCATACGATACCTCGATTATATTCACTCTCATACGATACCATCGACACTCCAATACGATACCGACACTCGCTATCGAGACCCACTCCAATACGATACAGACAATATAGACCTCTGACCTGAACTTCGTGAACACAATTTGTGATGAAAACTCAATAAAAGTGCCGATATTTCTGAAAAAATTAACATAATATGAATAGTAGTTACATAACCGAGCGCATGGCGCCATTTTCCATAAACAGCTTAAATCATAGACCACCACAACCATTTACCCCGAATCTTGTCCAACAAAATTAACCAATTGCTCCTGAATAAAACCTATTCATTTACTCACAATCTTATTTCGAATATTACCCATCGTAACACTTTCCATAAACAGCTTAAATTATAGTTTACCAACCATTTACCCCAAATCTTATCCAACAAAATTACCAATTACCTTCAATATTATTACGAACAATTACCCCGAATCTGCATAAACAGCTTAACAAGGTACCGATCATTTACCCAACAAAATTAATACTCCCGAATCATGAGTTAACCCCGATTTTACTACACTCTTTAACCGAGAATAACCTAGAGCGGTTGCCTGAAAAATACTTCTGTGGAATATATAATTGATTTAAATTTTTGAAATA